AGCGGTTCCTCAGTGGAACGGGCTTCCTCGGGAGGTGGTGGGCTCTCCTTCTTTGGGGGTTTTCAGACAGAGGCTAGATGGCCATCTTGACAGCAATGCTGATTCTGTGAACTTAGACAGATCAAGAGAAGGGAGGGCAGGAAGGGTTGTGTAATGATTTCATGTTTAACTGTGTGTGTGTGTCTTTAAAAGTTTGGTTGCATCACTGTATGATAGTCTAGAGTGGTTGAAACAGGCAAGTGGTGTGATTGGTGAGTGACAGAGAGGGGGAGGGGTTTTGGAAGTGAGGCTGTGTGGAGGATATGTATGTCTATCAGTAGTGACAGAGATTTGACAGTTGATGAAGACAGTTGATGTTCAGTTAAGAAGTTTTGGTTCTGAGTTCTGTGAAAGAAGCAGGAGTTCAGTTCTCTGTGTATGAAAGAAGTGAGAAGCCATTCTGTGTGAAAACAGTTAAGCTGTCTGTTGATGTTGTTCAGAGAAGAAGAAAAGTTAATAAAAAGTCTGAGTGACAGACTGTAGTGAACTTATAAGACCTTGAGTAAAAGGTTACAAAGTTACTTGAAACATCCCTGTCAGTAAGGGAGAAGCTTGTGAGAGACACCAAGCAATTGTTCAAATCATTCACATTACTGTTTACATTGTTCTACCCTCGTATTTATGCTTTATTTAAATAAATCCTATTTCATTCAAGTCTGCCAGCTCTGAAAGAAATGTCTCAGGAAACACATAGACCCTCATGAAAGCCTAAAACCCTCGACCTACCTACCCAGAAATAGAGAAAGCATAAAGGTTTGGAAATCCTTTTTAAAATTTCCTGGTGGCAGCCGGATATATACAGTACAATAACACATAAAGAACACTTTTAAAGTAAAACCAGACCTCCCCAGTTAAGGGGTCGTCACAGGTTGCCTCAGTGCTTAGTTCCTTACACGCCCAGGGAAATGCTGGTTGCCATTTTGGGGTCAGGAAGCAGTTTTTCTTCAGGACGTTTTTGATCATCTTCTGGGCATGGAGCAGAGATCACTGGGGGGGGTGGGGGGGTATTTGTGGATTTCCTGCATTGTACATGGGGTTAGACTAGATGACCCTGGAGGTCCCGTCCAACTTCATGATAATACGATGTCATGAGGGTCTCAGAAGCAGGATCAGCCCCAGTTAGAACATGGATGGGAGACCACCAAGGAAGTCCGGGGTCGCTGTGCAGAGGAAGGCAACGGCAAAAACACCTCTGTTCGTCTCTTGCCTCGAAAAGCACACCGGGGCTCCCCGTAAGTTGGCAGCAGCTGAACGGCGCTTTCCACCCCCCAAGGAAGCGACGAGAACACCTTCCTCGTGGCGATGCTAAATTGTCTTTCCCGCAGATCTGGACTCGCGCATCACATCCGAGGGACTCGAGACGATTCTCCCGCCAGCTCAGCCTCGGTCTTATTTCAAAAGCATCTCAGTCACAAAAGTGGTGGCCCCGGATGGGGTGAGTACGGAAGCTCTACCAAGGCCAGGGAGGGGGCATGCGCTCCAGTCAGTGTTCGGTTTGCAGGAGACAGAGGGTGGAATCTAGGGTTGCAGACTCTGGGTTGGGAGATTCTTGGAGATTTGGGGAGGTGGAGGCTGGGGTTTTGGGGAGCGGAGGGACTCCAGGAAAGTGTAATGCCGTACAACTCATGGTGCGGAGTCGTTTTCTGTTGCCCCAGGAGGTCGGACCAGAACTGACGAGTTGAAATTAAATCTGAAGAGTTTTCGGCGAAACATTAGGAAGAACTTCCTGACAGTTCGAGCGGTTCCTCAGGGGAACAGGCTTCCTCGGGAGGGGGTGGGCTCTCCTGCTTTGGAGGTTTTTAAGCAGAGGCTAGATGGCCACCTGACAGCCATGTGGATTCTGTGAGCTTAGGCAGATCATGAGAAGGGAGGGCAGGAAGGGTTGCCTCAGGGCTTAGTTCTCGTGGCCCCTTCTTTCACGCCCAGGGAAATGCTGATTGTCACTCTGGGGTCAGGAAGCAATTTTTCTCCAGGCCGGTTTGTCTGGGGATCCTGGAGGATTTTTGTCATCTTCTGGGCATGGAACAGCAGCCATTATGGATGTGGAGGGGGAGGTATTTGTGAATTTCCTGCATTGTGCAGGGGGGTTGGACTAGATGACCCTGGAGGTCCCTTCCGTCTCTATAGGTCTATGATTCATAAGCAGCCACTTTCTCCTGAGGAACTGATGTCTGTCATCTGGAGATCAGTTGCAGTTCTGGGAAATCTGCAGGCCCCGTCTGGAGGTTGGCAACCCCGTGTTGGGTCCCATGTAAGATTGTCACACGCACCGTAGTCTTTGAGCAAGCAGAGATGCTGGAATTACTCCTCGCACCGAGTGAAAACGACTGTGTTGCCGCAATGTTTTCCACGCGCGCGAGGCATACCGCAGCGTATTTCTTCCAACACCATTTCAAAGGCAGATGTCATAAAAACCCCATGCCACAACCCATCTGTCGTGCATTCCATCGTTCTGTAGGCACATTGCTCTTTCATTAAAAATAAAGCTGAAGAGCAGCTGTGTTGCCGCAGATGTTGCGTTGCTGCCGGCGTACGCAGGACTTCGCTAGGAACGTTTTCCATTCCATCTGCGCATTGCGGGAGCCAGCCCAAAGGCTGTGGTCATGTCGCAAACTGAGGAATCGGATTTCGAGCAGACGCCAGGTCTCATCTCTGACTCCTGAGAACGTTCCCTTGGATCTTTAAATGTGAAAAAACCAACAGGTTTCTAGTCCTCATGGCAGTAAAAAGGCAGTTTGAAATAGGAGTGAGGCCAGATCTAGGGAGGCGGCAAGCTGAGATGATAACAGGGAGGAGGAACACGGAAGTGGCAGAATTTCAGATTCTGGGGAGAGGGAAGTTCCCTAAATTAATGCCCTGACCTGGATAGCTCAGGCTGGCCCCATCTTGTCCGATCTCGGAAGCTAAGCAGGGTCGGCCCTGGCTAGAATTTAGATCGGAAACCTCCAAGGAATACCAGCGTCGTGAGGCAGAGGCAGGCAATGGCCAACCACCCCTGAACGTCTCTTGCCTTGAATGGCCACTGTAAGCCGGCCGAGACTTGGTGGCAAAATATATGTGTGTGTTCATGTGTAAAGTGTCGTCAAGTCGCTGCCGACTTCTGGCGACACCATAGGGGGTGTGTGTGTATACATGGTGTATATATATTTGGTGACGCTCTGGTGTCTGGGCAAAACTCTGTGGTAGAGTCTAAAAACCGGAGTGACATCCCCTACATGCCTACATCCAGGGCTTTTTTTGTAGAAAAAGCCCAGCAGGAACTCATTAGCATATTAGGCCACACCCATGACAGCACAGCTCATTAGTATATTAGGCCACATCCCCATGTTACCAGAAGTGTGGTCATCCAGCCACACCCACCTTTTGCTTCTTATTCTGTTTACCTTGTTTGTTGTCAAAACCCAGGGCTTTTTTTGTAGCAGGAACTCCTTTGCATGTTAGGCCACACACCCCTAATGTAGCCAATCCTGATGAGTTTCTGCTGTTGGGTGTGGCCTATTATGCTAATGAGTTCCTGCTGGGTGTGGCCAACTTGGGAGCCAGCCGGAACTCCGTTCCTGTGCGTTCCTGTCCAAAAATAGCCCTGCCTACATCACTTCCGGGTCACGTGGTCAAGTTGCGTTAATTTCCGGCGTTCCTGTTCCTGGTAAGTGTACCCCCCCCCCATCCCTGACAGGCTGCTCCAAGGGACCTGGCACCTCTACTTGAAGGACATTGTGCTTCCCACTTTCCATGGGGATCCGCTGACTCGGTCAAGAGCCTAGGAGTTTTACCAGAACCCGCATTTCTCTTGGAGAAGCAAACTAATACAGCTGCAAAAAAAAAAAAGGCCTTTATTTAGTATCCGCTGTTGTCACGGGGACTCGAGGCGGATTACAATATAATCATGGGATGGGACTTCCAGCAAGCAATGCGATGGGATTTGTATTGTAGAAATGTGGAATCAGCCAGAAATCTGAAAACAGAACTGAAGCAAAGCCACAAGCATTAACGTGGCACATTAAACGATAACAAACTGACATAGAGGCATCCTAATTACGGCAAACTGTACTCAGTAGTATAGACCACAGTAAACAAGAACATAAGGGGAGCCCTGCAGGGTCAGACCAGTGAGGGTCCCTCTAGTCCAGCATCCTGCCTCACACAGGAGCCTCAGCCAGTGCCTCTGGAAGGCCAACAACAGGGCAGAGAGGCCGAGGCCTTCCCCTCAGAAGAACATCAGAAGAGCCCTGCTGGGTCAGACCAGTGAGGGTCCATCTAGTCCAACATCCTGCCTCATACAGTGGCCTCAACCAGTTCCTCTGGAGGGCCAACAACAGGGCAGAGAGGCCGAGGCCTTCCCCTCAGAAGAACATCAGAAGAGCCCTGCTGGGTCAGACCAGTGAGGGTCCATCTAGTCCAACATCCTGCCTCATACAGTGGCCTCAACCAGTTCCTCTGGAGGGCCAACAACAGGGCAGAGAGGCCGAGGCCTTCCCCTCAGAAGAACATCAGAAGAGCCCTGCTGGGTCAGACCAGTGAGGGTCCATCTAGTCCAACATCCTGCCTCATACAGTGGCCTCAACCAGTTCCTCTGGAGGGCCAACAACAGGGCAGAGAGGCCGAGGCCTTCCCCTCAGAAGAACATCAGAAGAGCCCTGCTGGGTCAGACCAGTGAGGGTCCATCTAGTCCAACATCCTGCCTCATACAGTGGCCTCAACCAGTTCCTCTGGAGGGCCAACAACAGGGCAGAGAGGCCGAGGCCTTCCCCTCAGAAGAACATCAGAAGAGCCCTGCTGGGTCAGACCAGTGAGGGTCCATCTAGTCCAACATCCTGCCTCATACAGTGGCCTCAACCAGTTCCTCTGGAGGGCCAACAACAGGGCAGAGAGGCCGAGGCCTTCCCCTCAGAAGAACATCAGAAGAGCCCTGCTGGGTCAGACCAGTGAGGGTCCATCTAGTCCAACATCCTGCCTCATACAGTGGCCTCAACCAGTTCCTCTGGAGGGCCAACAACAGGGCAGAGAGGCCGAGGCCTTCCCCTCAGAAGAACATCAGAAGAGCCCTGCTGGGTCAGACCAGTGAGGGTCCATCTAGTCCAACATCCTGCCTCATACAGTGGCCTCAACCAGTTCCTCTGGAGGGCCAACAACAGGGCAGAGAGGCCGAGGCCTTCCCCTCAGAAGAACATCAGAAGAGCCCTGCTGGGTCAGACCAGTGAGGGTCCATCTAGTCCAACATCCTGCCTCATACAGTGGCCTCAACCAGTTCCTCTGGAGGGCCAACAACAGGGCAGAGAGGCCGAGGCCTTCCCCTCAGAAGAACATCAGAAGAGCCCTGCTGGGTCAGACCAGTGAGGGTCCATCTAGTCCAACATCCTGCCTCATACAGTGGCCTCAACCAGTTCCTCTGGAGGGCCAACAACAGGGCAGAGAGGCCGAGGCCTTCCCCTCAGAAGAACATCAGAAGAGCCCTGCTGGGTCAGACCAGTGAGGGTCCATCTAGTCCAACATCCTGCCTCATACAGTGGCCTCAACCAGTTCCTCTGGAGGGCCAACAACAGGGCAGAGAGGCCGAGGCCTTCCCCTCAGAAGAACATCAGAAGAGCCCTGCTGGGTCAGACCAGTGAGGGTCCATCTAGTCCAACATCCTGCCTCATACAGTGGCCTCAACCAGTTCCTCTGGAGGGCCAACAACAGGGCAGAGAGGCCTCCTTCCTTGTAGAGTATCAAAGGGGACTTCACAGTGTAAGCCAGGGGTCCCCAGCCGTTTTGACCTTCGGGCACCTTTGGAATTCTGACACAGCACGGTGGGCAGAGCCACAAAGCGGCTTCCATAAAATGGCTACTGCAGAAGGCAGAGCCGGCCACAAAATGGCTGCCGCAGCTTATCTTCAGTCACACTGTGCAGAGCCCTGTGCCGTGGTGGCAGCTGCCGCCAAAGCACCGTGTTTAAAAATCTGCACGACCAAACAAATCGCCAAAAGGCAATCAGAAGCGTCGCTGGGCAAAAGCCCCACCCGGCCCGGCCGGCTTTCTAACACCACTTGGCGGGCACCGGGAAAGATGTCAATGGGCACCACGTTGGGGATCTCTGGTGTAAGTCCATGCAGTTGACAGAACAAAACATCTGATAAGAGACGTAATGGGAATAGGGTTACAGAAATCTGAAAACAGAGCCCTGGTTGTGATACGTTCACAATGCCAAAAGATGGAATTACACAGATAGATAACAGTGTAGTGAGAGCAAGGTAATAATAGGAGGGCTATAAATAACGGACATAAAATCAACAAACAGATGCAGTCCTGTACGGTCCTAGAGAGCCCTGCTCCTGCTCCCAGGTGCTGAAACAACAGCCACCTGGGCCAGTCAGGAGTCTCCAGGGTTCTAGACCTTTTACCAGAGGAGGAGGAGAAGAAGAGATTGGATTTATACCCTGCCCTTCACTACCTGAAGCAGTCTCAGAGTGGCTCACAAACTCCTTCCAGAGTTGATTCCGCACTCCTCCACCTGTAGCTGCTGGTGTGACCTTGGGTCAGTCACAAGTTCTCTCAGAGCTGTTATCTCAAGAGCAGTCCTCGAAAGAGCTCTCTCAGCCCCACCTACCCCACAGGGTGTCCGTTGTGGGGAGCAGTCTCAGAGTGGTTTACAAACTCCTTCCGGATTTGATTCCGTGCTCCTCCACCTGCAGCTGCTGGTGTGACCGTGGGTCAATCACAAGTTCTCTCGGAGCTGTTCTCTCAGAAGTCCTTGAAAGAGCTCTCTCAGCCCCACCTACCCCACAGGGTGTCCATTGTGGTGAGCAGTCTCAGAGTGGCTTACAAACTCCTTCCGGATTTGATTCCGCACTCCTCCACCTGCAGCTGCTGGTGTGACCTTGGGTCAATCACAAGTTCTCTCGGAGCTGTTCTCTCAGGAGAAGTCCTCAAAAGAGCTCTCTCTCAGCCCCACCTACCCCACAGTGTGTCTGTTGTGGGGAGGGGAAGGGAAAGGAGTTTGTAAGCCGCTCTGAGACACCTTTGGGTAGTGAAGGGCGGGGTATAAATCCAATCTCCTCTCTTCTGTATATGGATGACACAGTGTCCATGCGTGCAGCTTTTTAAAGCATTTATTTTATGAAGGCTGGCCATCAAAGGAAATAATATGACCCAGCTTGCCATCCCCCCCCCCCCCCCCCCCCATCTTCTTTCACAACAAAAAAAATTAAGACAAAACACATCCGGGGGGAAAGGATCCGCCCGGAGTCCTATCGGGCAGTGCTTTCAGGGACCCTAAAACCGTGCCACCGAAGACCATCGCTCCCATTATAATCCTCTGGAAGTTCTGTTTAGTTCGCTTTTAGCTACCGACCGACCTCTTCTCCGTAAAAGTGACCCTCTCCGTTGTCGCTTCAGACTGTGGAAGAGCGCCGGACAGTCCGAGACAGCCAGGGCCACGAAGAGACCGTCGTCACCCGGCAGGGTGGAGGGGAGCCGTACCGCGGTCTCGACGGAGGCCAGCCGGGCGGGTCAGGTGAGTTACAGGAGGAGGGAGCCCCTCCGAGGGTGTATTCCGGGGGAGGGCCTTGGGAACTCATTACCCCAAGCGGTCGATGGGGCTTTGTGTACTGCAGTTCTGCAGTGGCACCAGCACACAGAATCTGTCGTCCTAAGAAGGCCAGATTTCATATTTTTTTTTTGCCTTTTAAAAAAGAGGAGGTTGCTAGTCCTTATGCTTACAAATGAACTGAGTGCGACGGACAAGTGATATAAAGAATCCTGGCCGGGACAGGTATAATTTCAGTATCCTCTCTGCAGCCCTCAGGGTCTTTCTGTCACCGCAGGGGTATGATACCCTCCCTCCCCAAGTTTATGGCCTGATGTCAATATCAGGGATGGGGGGGGGGAGTCTTCCCCTTCCTTAGGTCATTCGCTTCCTGGGCATCATAGTAAAGGTAAAGGCTTCCCTCGCTCGGAAGCCAGTCGGATCCGACTCTCGGGGGCGGTGCTCATCTCCATTTCCAAGCCGAAGAGCCAGCGCTGTCCGAAGACTTCTCCATGGTCACGTGGCCGGCATGACTAAACGCCGAGGTGCACGGAACGCTGTTACCTTCCCACCGAAGTGGTACCTATTTATCTACTTGCAGTTTCTTGCTTTCGAACTGCTAGGTTGGCAGGAGCTGGGGCCAGAGACGGGAGCTCACTCCGTCATGCGGCACTCGGGTCTCGAACTGCCAAAATACAGACCTTCTGGTCTGCAGCACAGAATCTTAACCTCTGAGCCACTGCGGCCTCCCATAGCTTTTCTTAATTTTAAAAGCAAGTTCCTAGTCCTTATAGGCTGCAAAAGACAGGCTCGAAGGTACGTGAAGAATGCCAGCGGAAATCTCAAAAGCTAGAGAGAGTGGGCAGTGTTAAATTCCCGGTGCTGGTGGTTGGGAGATTTCGGTGGCCTCCTGATCTCATTGCTCTTCTCCTAACTCGCACAGGGTTGCCAGACCCCCCTGGTGGAGGCAGGGGTCCCCCGCTGGTAGGTCCTGCCCCACAGCCACCGATCAGCTGACTGGCGGGGGGGACTTACCAGTAGGAAGAGGAAGGCCTAAGCCACGTCGCTGGAGTCTCACAGGAAGTGACATCATCACGCCAGCAACGTCTTGGTGACGCCCTGGTATTTGTGCGAAAATGCTATGGTAGAAGCGGGTTTTACCATAGAGTTTTTGCCCAAATAGCAGAGTGTCACCCAGAAGTCGCTTCCTGTGAGATAAGCATATGGAGCAGAGGTCCATCAGTGGCTATTAGCCACAAGGTATAGATAGGGGCTCTGGGGCAAGTGATGCTCTGTCATCTTAGTGCTTGGGGGGGGTCAACAGTGGGAGGGCTTCTAATGTCCTGGCCCCACTGCTGGACCTCCTGATGGCACCTGGTATTTCTGGCCACTGTGTGATACAGAGTGTTGGACTGGATGGGCCTTTGGCCTGATCCAACATTGGCATCTCTTATGTTCTTATGTTCCTGTGCGACACCGACAATGTGGCCTAGGCCTCCTTCCTTCTACTGGTAAGCCCCCCCCCAATCCCTAGCAAAGCATGCGTTCTGCAAATGCAATTTTTTAAAACAAAAATCGCAGAATCCATTCTGCAGAAAAGAAGAGACTTTGTGCCAATTTGCTGAATTGTGCAGGTCACAGAATGCCAGTCCCCCCCCCCCTTGGGCCGTGATCTGGTGAGAAGAAAAGGATAACGGTGCTTTGGGTGCCGATAAACAGGTCGTGTGGATGAGCCCATTGGGCCGGTGGTCTCCCTTCCTGCTGACTGTTTCTCCGCTAGGCGACTTGGCACGCCCGAGAGAGAACATGGACGACTCCTCTTCCATCCTGGATGTCTTCTTCCGCCGCTGGTTCCAGGGCCGATAGTTCGTCCCGGTGGGTAGTGGGGGGGGTGTGAAACGTGGGAGGGTAGGAGGTCCTTTTGGAACCAGCCCCGTCCCTTTAGAACAACGGTTTTCAGCCCCTCCACGTGGATCAACCCTGGTACGTTGCGGAGGATGTTGGGTGTGCGTGTCTTCCAAGGTGCACGCTAGGGATGCCAGCCTCCAGGTGGGACCTGGGGACCCCCCAGAATTACAGTTCGTCTCTAGTGCACGCCCAATTGAGTTCAGGCAGGGTACTGGTCAACAATGTTCCCTCTAAGCTGTGGAGTCTGGTGACCAAAAATTCTACTTCGTGAGCTCCTGGCATTAAAGTTGTGAGCCAGCAAGTTGGCTGCTGCATCAATTAGTTTGCTCTGGAGCCCTCCTTCCTGAGCAAAGACAAAAATGTGTGAGCTAGAGCCTAAAAAACTGTGAGCCAGCTCACACTAACTCAGCTTAGAGGGAACCCTGCTGGTCGATCCATTAGGCCTTGTGCATGAATCAAGGAAGTGACCAAGAACACACCCAGTGCTCTCCATGGCTGGGCCTTCATAGGGCAACCTTTGTAGGGAGCTTGCCTGCCCTTGGCCTTGCTGATTTTCTTCTTGGGGGAACCTTGGTGCGTACAGGCTGACTGCCCCAGGCCAAAGAGTTGCAACACAGAGAGGTTAGTTCCCCAGGCAGAACATAACAGCAACATGCGACGCACAGGCTTGAATCAAAACGTAACTGAAGAAGCCCGAGTCCAGGTTAGAGCAGTGTCTGAAATGACACACCGTGGTTTGCAATCAGTTGGCAAACAAGAATCGGGAATCACCATTTGGTGGGTTTCCCGTGGTGTGTGCACATGTTGGGGTTTGGTGTGACATTGGACTTGACAAGCCAGAGTTGCAGGTTGTCCACTGAACAGCCACTGGAATGCTAAGCAGATAAAGAGTGAAAGGGGACAAACAGCTGCAAACCAGGGTTTGACAACATATTTGGAAGCTCAAATCATGGTGTGCAGGGGTCTCCATCATGGTGCCCACCAAGACCTTTCCTGTTATCTGCGTTTTCAGAAAGTGACTAGGGCCAGGTGGGGCTTTTGCCCAGCAAGCCTTCTGATTGGCCACTGGAGAATTGAAGAAGAAGAAGAAGAAGAGATTGGATTTATACCCCGCCCTTCACTACCCAAAGGAGTCTTAGAACGGTTTACAATCTCCTTTCCCTTCCCCTCCCCACAGCAGATACCCTGTGAGGTAGGTGGGGCTGAGAGCGCTCTAAGAGAACTGCCCTTGAGAGAACAGCTCTGAAATAACTTGTGACTCACCCAAGGTCACACCAGCAGCTGCATGTGGAGGAGTGTGGAACCAAACCCGGTTCTTCCAGATTAGGTTCTGCACTCCTAACCACTACATTCCAAACTGGCTCTTAGACTGGCTAGTAGATTTCGAAAAACATTACGGATCCTGCCAGAGCTCAAGGATCGTCACTGTGTGACTAAAAGTAAGCTGCGGCAGCCATTTTGTGGCTGGCGCTTCCTCCTGCTGCAGCCATTTTGTGGCTGCACCCACTATGTAGTGTCAGAACTCCAGAGGTGCCCGCAGCTCTGTTGGGGACCACGATGGTATGGGTTCTGAACTTTGGTTTGTGCAAACTGTGGTTTGTCATGACATCTGGATTGACTGACTGACTGAATTGCGTTCATTCTAGTCCACCTTTCTCATTCAGGGTGAAGGCAGATTCACAGAATCATAGAGTTGGAAGGGGCCATACAGACCATCTAGTCCAACCCCCTGCCCAGTGCAATCAGTAGGAGGAGACAAGAAACAGGCCTAGGATCACAGAAACCTGAAACCAAGCATGGTGTATTTGGAATGGTACATTAAGCACCACAGAAAATGCCATTGCATAAGTCGCAAACAGCACTGTGGAAGGAAGAGAACGCGTACTTGAGGAATAGCCCTTGAAGAAGGAAAGGGCTCAGTGGTAGAGCACCTCCCTTCCTTGCAGAAGGTCCCAGGTTCAGTCCCCGACATCTTCAGTTACGGGGATCAAATATAATTCTGGGTATAAACTTTCGTGGGCATGCACACTTCAGGTATCTGAAGAAGTGTGCATGCACACAGATGCTTATGCCCAGAATTAAACTTTGTTGGCCTTAAAGGTGCCCCACTGGACTCAAACGTTGTTCTATTGCTTCGGACCAACATGGCTACCAACCTGAATCTAAGGATCAAGTAGTAGGTGATGTGAAAGGGTTGAGTAGCAGGTGATGTCATTTGAGACCCTGGACAGCTGCTGCTAGCAAGAGAAGACAGTACTGACTTTGAGATGTCAAGGGTCTGATTTAGTATAAGGCAGCTTCAGTTTGGTGTAGCGGTTAGGAGCGCAGACTCTAATCTGGGAGAACCGGGTTTGATTCCCCACTCCTCCACATGCAGCTGCTGGTGTGACCTTGGGTCAGTCACAAGTTCTCTCGGGAGCAGTTCTCTCAAGGGCAGTCCTCAAAAGAGCTCTCTCAGCCCCACCTACCTCCCAGGGTGCCTCTTGTGGGGAGAGGAAGGGAAAGGAGATTCTAAGCCGCTCTTAGACTCCTTCGGGTAGTGAAGGGGGGGGGAGAGCCAGTTTGGTGTAGTGGTTAAGTGTGCGGACTCTAATCTGGGAGAACTGGGTTTGATTCCCTGCTCCTCCACTCGCAGCTGCTGGATGACCTTGGGCAAGCCATAGTTCTGTCAGAGCTGTCCTTGAAAAAGAGCAGTTTGTGTCAGAGTTCTCTCAGCCCCACCCACCTCACAGTGTGTCTGTTGTGGGGAGGGGAAGGGAAAGGAGTTTGTAAGACTCCAAGTGAAGGGCGGGGTATAAATCCAATCTCTTCTTCTTCTTCTGTAAATCCAATCTCCTCTTCTTCATGTGTGAGTGTATATTTTTTTTCTATTAACTCACTGCACCAGCTTCAAATATAAGGTAATCTGTTTCACACACTGCCAAAGGCCCTTTAACTTGTGTTTTCTCTCAGAGCCTTCAATTCAGTCCTCAGGTGGCTGGGCCCGTCTCCTTGAATACACTCACGATGCGTTAGTTTTGATTGAACACCACTCAAGCGTACTGAAGTGCATGTCGTGGTTCACTTCTAATCTGACAGCAGTGGGGGGGTGCAATTTAGCTAAGATGGTCCTTCCAGTTATGTAAAGGAAAAGCCATCCCTGGTCGGATCCTGCCTGTTATCAATCATGCCTTGAAACCGGAGGTCAGAGTGGCATTCTGTACTTCGTCTAAGGCAGGCGTCCCCAACGTTTTTGAGCCTGAGGGCACCTTTGGAATTTTGACGTGTTGTGGTGGGCGCAGCCACAAAATAGGTGCCCCGAAAATGGCTGCCCCAGGAGGTGGGGCCAGCCACGGAATGGCTGTTGTGGCTTACCTCCAGTGGCCACTCAGGAGTCTTGCTGTTCCAAAGCCCTGCCTGTTCCCCCTTTAAAAAACATTTGGTGGGCACCAATAAAGGTGTTGACAGGTGCCTTAGCGCCATAGACATAACGTTGAGGTCCCCTGGTCTAACATTTAGGCACTGTGAAAGAAGAATAGAGAAGCAAAGGGTGTGTGTACGTGGGATTTTTTTCTTTCTCTCATGACCTGCAATTGTTTTCTGGGTTTGCACAGAGCTTCCACATGGCTCCAAGAGACAAACCGTAGTTGTGCCTCCCCAAGCCTTCTTGGATGTCGCTGGCTTCCTGCCCTCCTGTGTTCTGGGAAGACCTCGCAGCCCAAAAGGATATAATAAAGTCTCTATTTATGCTTGAGGTTTGTCTGTGTGATCTTCTGATAGCCAAAGCTTTCCTCAGGCAGGGGAGGAGTAGGCGTAGGGCTCTTTAGCTTGGAGAAACAACGGCTGAGGGGTGACATGATTGAGGTTTAGAAGATTATGCCTGGGAAAGAGCAGGTAGAGAAAGAGGTACTTTTCTCCCTTTCTCACAATACAAGAACTCGGGGGCACTCCATGAAATTGCTGAGCGGTTGGGTTAGAATGGATAAAAGGAAGTTCTTCTTCACCCAAAGAGTGATTCACACATGGAATTCACTGCCACAGGAGGTGGCGGCGGCTACAAGCATGGACGGCTTCAAAAGGGAATTAGATAAGCATATGGAGCAGAGGTCCATCAGTGGCTATTAGTCACAAGGTATAGATAGGGACTCTGGGGCAAGTGATGCTCTGTCTTCGTGGTGCTTGGGGGGGGGGTCAACAGTGGGAGGGCTTCTAATGTCCTGGCCCCACTGGTGGACCTCCTGATGGCATCTGGTATTTTTGGCCACTGTGTGACAGAGTGTTGGACTGGATGGGCCTTTGGCCTGATCCAGCATTGGCGTCTCTTATGTTCTTAGGAGTATAACTAACTTTAGTTCCCGACCTTGTTCAGGGGTCTTGTTTCAGTTTGGTGTAGTGGTTAGGAGTGCGGACTCTAATTTGGGGGAGCCGGGTTTGATTCCCCACTTCCACACGTGCAGCTGCTGGTGTGACCTTGGATCAGTCACAAGTTCTCTCAGCGCTTTTCTCTCAGGAGCAGTCCTCGAGAGAGCTCTCTCAGGCCCACCTACTTCACAGGGTGTCTGTTGTGGGGGGAAGGGGAAGGAGATTGTAAGCCGCTCTGAGACTCCCTCAGGTAGTGAAGGGCAAGGTATAAATACAATCTCTTTTTCTTCTTTCTCTTCCCCTCCTACAACTTCCTTGGCTCCTTCAAAATCTGCAGCCCTGCTTCCTGCATCCTCGTTAAGTATACTCTTAATAAGGCCGAGGTGGTCTGGGTGGGTAACGCTTCACCTTTTTGTGCAATGCATTCTTGAATGAAGACTAACCTTTAAAAAAACCGAAAAGCCCTGGGTAAGATCATCCAAGTGAAAGGCAGGGTATAAGTACACATTAAGTGCGTGGACTCTAATCTGGGAGAACCGGATTTGATTCCCCACTCTTCCACATGCAGCCAACTGGGTGACCTTGGGTCAGTCGCAAGTTCTCTCAGAGCCATTCTCTCAAGGACAGTCCGCAAAAGAGCTCTCTCAGCCCCATCTGCCTATCTACCTCACAGGGTTTCTGTTGTGGGGAGAGGAAGGGAAAGGAGTTTGTAAGCCGCTCTGAGACTCCAAGTGAAGGACGGGGTATAAATCCAATCTCCTCTTCTTCCTCTCCTCCTCCTCTTCTTCTTATACCCAGAATAAACTTTGTTGGTCTTAAAGGTGCCGCTGGACTCGAACTTTGTTCTGCTGCCTCAGACCAACATGTCTACCCACCTGAACCTAATGTAAGAATCTGACTTGCCCAAGGCCTAAAGGGTGAGTCTGTGGCAGATAACCTTCGCAATGAGCTGGAAAGCATCTGTTCCCAAATAACTGCGGTGACTACTGCAGGCTGCTGGTGTTTCTGGGTAATTTACAGGGTTGCCCACAGCCCTGAGGAAAAAAAATGTCCTTCCCCCTAAATGCAGGCTTGATGGGATGTTGTTCACCAGGTGATGTTCTCTACCTCCACGCCAGGAAATGCGACGCCACACATGAAGCCTCTATTAAAGGCGCAGGGCATTTTTTCTCTCCAGGCTTCTGGCAGCCCTAGAAACTAATGATAGTTTGCTGTGGGTCTGCTCCCAGTGAAAAGAGGCCAGAGGATTTGGGTTCCAGTTCCCGAGGCTGAGGTACTGTGCTAATATTAGAAGAAGAAGAAAAGAGATTGGATTTATACCCCGCCCTTCACTACCCGAAGGAGTCTCAGAGCGGCTTACAAACCCCTTTTCCTTCCCCTCCTCACAACAGACACCCTGTGAGGTAAAAGAAGAAGAGAAGAGATTGGATTTATACCCCACCCTTCACTACCCGAAGGAGTCTCAGAGCAGCTTACAATCTCCTGTCCCTTCCCTTCCCCACAACAGACACCCTGTAAGGTAAAAGAAGAGGAGATTGGATTTATACCCCGCCCTTCACTACCCAAAGGAGTCTCAGAGCGGCTTACAAACTCCTTTCCCTTCCCCTCCCCACAACAGACACCCTGTGAGGTAAAAGAAGAAGAGAAGAGATTGGATTTATACCCCACCCTTCACTACCCGAAGGAGTCTCAGAGCAGCTTACAATCTCCTGTCCCTTCCCTTCCCCACAACAGACACCCTGTAAGGTAAAAGAAGAGGAGATTGGATTTATACCCCGCCCTTCACTACCCAAAGGAGTCTCAGAGCGGCTTACAAACTCCTTTCCCTTCCCCTCCCCACAACAGACACCCTGTGAGGTAAAAGAAGAAGAGGAGGAGATTGGATTTATACCCCGCCCTTCACTACCCAAAGGCGTCTTAGAGCAGCTCGGACAGAACTATGGCTTGCCCAAGGTCATCCAGCAGGCGCAAGTGGAGGAGTGGGGAATCAAACCCGGTTCTCCCAGATTAGAGTCCGCGCACTCAACCACTACACCAAACTGGAGCACAGTAGAAAATACTCAATGGCAACCATGATATTTTTACAAGGGGACTATCTCTCTTTTATAGACGTTCACAAAATAGATCATTATTAATACTAATACATTTGTGCACATTCACACAAGAATAAACATCAAAGAATGATTCCACAATGTTGACCAGTACAGTCCAATAATCTAAAGTGCTTACAGACGGTAAATCTTCTTTGCGTCTTTCTTGTACTAGTATTGGATTGTAGACAAATAGCATAAATATGTTGTCGAAGGCTTTCACGGGTGGAGTTCATTCGTTGTCGTAGATTTTCCGGGTTATGTGGCCGTGGTCTTGGCATTGTAGGACCTGACGTTTCGCCAGCGGCTGTGACTGGCAACCTCAGAGGTATGACACAGAAAGATGGAGTACTCTCTGTGTCAAGGTGAGAAGAAATGACTCAGCCCTACCCCACCTTCCTGAGTAGATATAAATTACCTGCCTAACATTTTTCTTCTCTGAGAATGCCAGTCTCAGCTGCTGGCGAAACATCAGGTCCTACAATGCCAAGACCACGGCCACACAACCCGGAAAATCTACAACAAATAGCATAAAGGTCACGGATCGGCAGACGGGCTTGCTCCAACACCTGTTTCGTAAGGCTTCTTCAGAGCAGAATACGTGTAGACTCGGTGAATCCTTTCCTACTCAGCATTCATTTCCGCATGCTGTTTGGTGTAGTGGTTAAGTGATCGGACTCTAATCTGGGAGAACCGGGTTTGATTCCCCACTCCTCCACTTGCACCTGCTGGATGACCTTGGGCAAGCCATAGTTCTGTCAGAGCTGTCCAGGTGTCCTTTGGGTAGTGAATCCAATCTTTTCTTCTTCTCTCTGCATAATGCTCACACTCAGTGAAATCTCTTATTCAGTTTCCTCTCTGTATGCTTTCTCTCAAAGATTTGAATAGTTCTGCTCTGAAGAAGTACAAACTTTAGATTGTCGGACTGTGCTTGTCAACATTGTGGAATCGTTTTTTTTATGTTTATGCCTGTATGAATGTACAGAAATTTATTAGAATTAGTATTAATATTGATCTGGGTTTTTAAACAATCTATAAAGGAGTGGTATTCCCTTCGTAAATATATCACTATTGCCATTGACTATTTTCTACACACTTATCCCATGATCTCTCTTTGGTTATCCAATGTTAGGAACACGGCATCGAGGTCTTCATGCACTAGGGTGAGCTGCAGCTTCAATAATGAAGAAACAATTCATCTCTTCTTCACCCTGTGACGCTTGGCAGGAGGATTGTAGGGTTGCCAATATCCAGGCGGGGGCTGGAGAGCTGAGGAATTGCAACATCTCCAGAGATCAGTTCCTTGGAGAAAATGGCTGCTTTGGAGGGCGGACTCTATGGCTGAGGCCCCTCCTCTCCAAACCCCGCCCTCCCTAGGCTCCACCCCCAAAATCTCCAGGAATTTCCCACCCAGAGCTGGCAACCGAAGGGGGCGTTACTGGCTTCCACTGGGGTATCCTCCTATCTTTTCAGGCAGGATTCCTTTTGCCTGGCAGAAATCCAACTGATGAAGCTTTCTTGCACCACCGGTGCTTCATAGCAGGCGGTGCTGAGGCAGCTGAATTGTCTGCTTGCTGGGCATCTTCTGAAAACACAGCCCTAGTCTGTGGAGCTCGGCCAGGTAAGCTTCCAAGCATCTATTGGGACGTCACCCCACCACGGTGCAGGGATTTCTACTGCTTTTCCTGGCCCCGGCCCATAAAAGACGTAGCAGCAAAAGTTTTTCCTTGTACAAAGATAAGAAAAGTGCTGAGATATGCGATGGTTAAGATTCCCCTGTTAAATTGGGCTGTTGGTGTCGAGCTGCTGGGAAAGGCTCAAGAACAGAGGCAAGTGAAAAAGTTGGCAACCCTTTTTAGAAGAAGGAGAGATTGGAGTCTGCACTGCTAACCACCACACCAAGCTGTTTTGAGAAGAAGATCAGCAAGCAGAGATTCAGAAGAGCCCAGTAGGCATTCGCTCTGTGTCCGCAGGGTTCAGAAACGGTGGTCTCCTTCAACGCCCAACATTCTGGAACTGGACCCAGCTTCCCCCGACCCCTGCCATGGCATCCAGCGGTTGTTCTCACTGCCCACTAGAGTTGCCAGCTCCAGGTTTTGAAACACCTGGAGATTTTGGGGGTGGAGCCTAAGGAGGGTGGGGTTTGGGGGAGGGGGTCTCAGCAGGGCACAGTCAATACTACAGTGCTCACCCTCCAAACCGGCCATTTTCTCCAGTGGAATTGATCTTTTGTCATCTGGCGGTCGGTTGTGGTAGCGGGAGG